AGATGCCTGAACAGCCGATGCTAGAGGTTAAGTGTTCCTGAGTACACATCGGGGTATGTGTGCTAAAAAATAAATAAATAATTATATATATATATATACATATATATGAGAGAAAAGCGTAAAGCGCAGAAGTGATCTATGTCCTTAAGCACCTTGGTGTGCTTTGCTGGCTCTCCTGATGAGCTGTCGCTGTAAGTGGGTAGAAAAACACCTCTAAGTGATGTGGGCCTTTAGTCACCTGACCATCACGAATGCCACTGTGGGCCCCTAGCTGGTCCAAGTCTGCATGGCACGGCAACATATTGCGTAGGTATAAGGCAGTCAGTAGTTATTCATCATCCATAATGTTAACGATTACAGCATGTCGATAACAAACCCAGGAGTTAAATGAGTTTGTGCACTCAGCTACGCCTGTGCCTCGGCAGTTCAAGGTCACTCCCTCCCGTCTCTGACAGGAGGGATGATTCCCGGGCCAAGCTGCAACCACACACATCTTGCCTCAAGGTCAAGTGTGCCACTATTTAGAACAAATAGATACATAAAACACTCAATCTTGTGTGTGTATAAGGTATGGGCCAGGACCTTGGGCCGGGATAAAGTTGGCCAGCAGCTCGTATATTTCGTCCTGTACTTGTATTTCAGCTTGACACTTTGTCACCCCACACCCCCTCCACTCACTTTAACGTTTTGAAGTCCCTCTTGTGTGACTGAACGCAAAAAGTTAGCATTGATTCTTGCTATGTTAGAGCTCACCAGAGTGCAATGTGGATGGATCTCGAGCATCTCGGGGTGACAAACTGTGTTTATCATTCAGTCCGTTGGCCAGCTGAATTTAGACTCTGCAGCCTCCTTTAAGCTGCTCGTTCAGACATACCATGACCAAAGCAGCTATTCACCTATGGATGGCTGAAAAAATAAAAACACAGAGGGCCTTTGTGTTTGAGCAGAAGCAGGACACGGCTAGGGCACGTGGTGAGAGGATACACTTGATTTGGAGTCAGTTACCAGCTCACGCCTATCATAATGGACAATGGGGCAAGGGCAAGTGTCTCCCTCTCCTAAGCTTTCCTCTCTCCCTCACCCTGTCTCTTGGCGTGCTTCCCCCAGGAGACACGAGCCGGGGGCTGGGCGCTCTGATGGCCAAGCGTGACATTTAAACCCCTGCCCTGCGGTAGCTTTAGGGGGGCTTTATGGAGTAGATGGGGGGCCACAGAGAGGTCCATCTGAGCACAGTGAAAGAAAAAAGGGGGTACGGGCAGAGGCTCACCCTACAAACCCCCTATTACTCAATGCACACAAACTACTCACCCCCCACCTCTATGCTTCACCCTGCAGAAATCCTCAGTATGTCAGTACGGTGGGGGCTCCATTGTGCACGGGTCTTCCACTGAAGAAAAGGACCCTTTGGTGATAAACAATTCAGCTGTCCACTCTGATCACAATGGGGGCACATCCCATTGCTTTGAGCATCTGTTTCGAGTAGGTACTGGTCCCCTCGCTGCTCAGCAGCGTTGACCATACAAACACGGTGTGCAACTAAATCCCTGAATCTGCTGGCCCACTACCACCTGCTCTCATCCTCCCCTCTTTTTATTATTCCTTATTTGGATCAATACTGTTGACTCCACTGCAGTATCTCTCAAAAGACAAGTTGAATAGCCTTGTGCTGGCTGTTCAGTAGGATCGCATGCTTTTTAAATTGTCTACAGTGTGGCAGCAAAACTGCATGAGCTGATTAAGGCGTGCATGAGAGAGAAGATGCTTTTCTGCCAAGACACAGGGCACAGAGTTATCTATGTAGGCCTCATACGTACAGCAGAGTCCATGGCTACTTATCACCCCCTTGTGGACATTCAGCATACATCATTCCTGCTTTTAAATTTGTCCACTCTTTTTATGGTGAGACTGTTGGTCTATATGGTTACCTGGTTATATGTATGTAAACTTTTTCAATGTTGTTACATACTATCATTTATCAGATTAAATTATTATTGGATGATCCTTTCCACCGCACTGTACCTGTAATGTTTATCTTATTTATGGCAGAAGGGCAGTGTTTACCCAGCAACGCTGCCCTTCTGCCACACATAAGGAAAACAGGAAAAGGACATCTCGTCCTTTTACTGAATTACTTCAGACTGTGGGAGAATGAACATGAGATTCATGTAAACATGTGCAACACTAATACATTTTTAAATTAAGGCTGTTGGTTTTTTTTTTTTACATCTTGTAAAGTTGTTTTGAGTATTTGCTTATTTATATCTATTTGTAACACTTTAAAATCAAAGTGATCTGCATTTTTAATTGTTTCAGTTTCTTTAATTTGTTTTAATGTCTTTTTATCTTACATTTTATAAAATTGCTTTGCTTTAGCAGAATGCGCGTGAGTTTCTACTTATTATGCAGAAGGAATTATTTCAATAATATATATTAAGATACATTTTTAATCATATTAACCAATAAAACTGTCTGGAAAGTCCTGTTTGCAACTCTCTTTCAAATTCGGAAATTCAAAGTTCAAAATTTTCAAGGAGAATCGGTGAAAGGCAGTAAAATAAGGCAAAGAAAAAATACTGCGAAGCAATAGTAATAGTATTAATAGTAACATTAATTATAGTGATCAAGAATACATTGAGATATGGTTCACTGTTTTATGTGGTTTTCCAGAAGATACGTGAATGACATGTTTTCTGGATTTCATCCAATATCTCTGCCAACTATCTGATTCCAAGGGGTTAACTGTGAGCAGGGCACTCTGCTGGGGAAGCGCTAATCAGCTCGGAAACATTTGCTGCCCTTCTGGCAAGGTCAAAAGGGTCACGGTCCCTGGGCTGGATGTCCACTCCATCCTGTGCTCCTCCCCCATTGCTGTAAAGCCCAGCCTCCCCTTGGGGCCTATAGGCCCTGCAGGCACAATCACTGCAACGCCACTATAGGCCCACAGAAGCTGGCTTTAATCTATATGGAGCCCTGGGATGGACTGCGGCTGTCTGTCCATCAGCCTGTCAGTGTGTCTTGCCTTGACCGTACATAAGCAGCCATGGACCAGAGCTATCGACTTAGACAATCCGAACCCACATTTGTGATTGGTTTGCAGAGCCATCCGGTGGGCCCCTCCTGCTGTTTGACCAGGTGATTGATCTGTTAACACTGGCCACTGGACGTGTGTCTCTGAATTTAATTTCAGAATTCATTTCTGTGGGACGTGTGTGTACAGAAATGATGTAGAGTCCCAGGATCAAATGAAGGATTGATGGTTTCATCTGATATCTAAGTAAAAATGCAATTTAGATTTCTTTTCCACCCTTTATCATTAGATATTTGGAACGTGCCTAACAGGAACACTGACCAACCCTTAAAGCATGGCCTTATATCATTCTTACAATTTTAACAAAAATGTGAACAGTGTCTGCGTCTCTAAGCATTAAAGTCTTGAATCACCAGAGGTTAACCCCTTTGAGTGAAGATAATTTCTCAATATTTTTATTTGTCAGGCCATTATATTTTCCAGGCCTTGAGGCATTTTTTCTTTGTAACAATATCTCTACTATAACTGAGATACTGTTTATCAACAATACATGAAAACACCTGTAAAGAAGCCTTTGTTGTCAAGGCATTTCATCACTTATCAACAGCAAGAGAATCTCCTGCTGTTAAAATAATAAAAATGCTGAAAAGGGCACTAAAGTCAGGCTGAGAGGTTAGGTAACCCTGATTCATTTCACAGCTCATAAAGAGCACCAACGCATCGGTGAGTGGGTATTGTCCACCATGGATTTCCCAGTCCATTCTGCTTTATGCTTCTCTGTTTTCAGAAATGCCCATAAAACACAAAGACTATGAAATAAATGTGACGACCAAGACAATGCCTGAGTTAGGAAGTGAGGGCTGATTTGATGGAGTCTCTCTTTCTCCACTCTGGCCTGCTGTAGACGTGGGGAGAGGGGGCAGGCTGCTTGGATATGCATCACAAAGGCTTCCTGCAGTATTGATCTGCAGTGGGTTAAGGCAGTCTATCAGCAAATGTCCCTCTCTCTGGGAAAAACAATAGATTAAAAACACACAGCTTGCAGGGCGGGAGGCTGCTGATGGGCCCTTATCTGGGCCCAAAGGTCACTGTGTACAGATATAATCCACTTTCACTTAACAGCTTCATTTAAGGCACCTCGCATGCAAATGGTGGCATTTCAGGGTCTATTCAAAGACTGAGGTTTTGTTTTTCCAAGAGGCAGGCAGGGTTTTTTTAAACATTCTTTCAGAGATGGGTTGAAAGTGTTCAGTGCTTAAGCTTTAGTGGTTGAGTACATCATCTTTTCCCAAATCAAGAAATGACCACAGTGTTTTTATGACACCTAATAATGAAAAATGTATCATCTGAAAAAATTTAAATGCCCTATTTTATTCATAAGATATTGACACAGCAGGTAGTGCTGCATATTTCATTAAACTGGAGCTCTGTCACTCCAGTGGAAAATGTATAAACCCTTACACTATGGAGCAAATAAATGCACAAACTTAGAAATACAGCAAAAATATCTATGTGTAAAAACTCATTTTTATAATTTACAGCCAAATTTGTAGTACCTTGTCCCCCTTTCCACTAACAAGTTGAAAACACAGGTTATACTTTGATGCCCTCTTTCTATTTAATTAAAGTTTGCAAACTGATTTATACATAGGGCATATATAATGGTTACAATAAAACAAACAACCATTAAAAAGTAACAAACACTGTTTTGGGCATAGGTATTCCAACATTACTGATGAACATCATTTAACAATGTATTTCAGATCACTATGTCATTCAAACAACCATCGGACAGTAATGGCACAACCTCAAAATGTTTCTGAAACATCGCCAAAAAAAGTCAGTAACACGTTCTAAAAATCAAACTGTGGAACTTGTGATCAAAATCAAAATTCAAAAAAGAAAAAACATCACTGCTGGATTAACAGTAGGCTGTGATGTCAGTAGCGTTCTTTAGGCTCGCTAAACTTACGTTTCTTCGTAGGCAAGTCGGTGGACGGCGTTTCCTGACTGGTGGGAAACTGAGAAGCCTGAAAACAGCAGAAGAAACATGCATTTGACATTTAGTAAAGCACGGCTTTATGTGTCTACTGACAGGCACCATCCCACTCTGAGAAACCAAAGCGACCAGTGTTGACTCATCTGTGGAACAAACGGTTCCTACGCATTTTCCACTTATTAATCCTAAATCTGCAGAACACATCTTGGTTATGCACGAATACTGCAGTATTATCAAACAAATCAAATCGTGTTTTTACGAACCGAGTGATAGGTCATGTGAGGACATGTTTCCACCCACATTTACATTTCTTTTGACAACAGGTAGTAGTTTTGGATAAACTACCAAATTATTTTCATTTATTTAACTACAGTCTGTTTGTTGCCCATGCATGCTTAGGTTTGTCTCCTGCTGACAAACGTAGAGAAACACACTTTACTTTTCCAACCTTGCAAAATCTACAAAAGTCTGTATAATAAAAAGAGTTTTCATTATTACAGAATTACAGAAGATGTTAGCAATGCTACTTAAGCAGCTACATGACCATTTTCATGCCTGATTTTGTGCTTACTTTTTGTGCTTGAAGACCATTACATCCTAAATGAGCAGAGATGACCTTATTGGGCCCATATCTATTATATATTTCAAAGATGTGCCTGATTAAGACATCAGGTTTACATGATAATATAGTAATTGCTGCCTTAAAAAAGGCAACTAGTCTTCCACTGTTCAAAATGTTACAAACTCTAGAGAGTTTCATAAGTACAATTTCAATTTCTGCACAGTTACAAAGTGTTTTAGTGTGGAGGGGGTTGTCAAGCTGTAATAGAGTGAGGCGAGGACCTGTAGCTAATAGGTTTTAAATGTTAGACTGACCATAGTTGGCTTGATGATCCTTCCACTCCTGGTCCTTTTCGTCCCCACCTCCATATAAGAAGTCTTCTTCACCAGAGTGTCCATCTGACAGAGGAGAGATGATCCTTAAAGCCAGTGATTATTAAGTACACTTGAGGCACTCGGCTGCCGTCAGCATTTTTGCGTTTTGAACAGATTAGAGGTCCTTAACTTTTTAGTATTAGCATTTATAGCGCTCTTGAAGGCAAAGTTAACCCCCCACATTTCTGGATAATAACACTGTTGTTTTGTAAATAGTGCAGACTTTCAGCTTTAACTCAAGGATTCACAAAAATAATGCATTAACTGTTTCATTCCTTTTATTGAGTCTCATAAATGGCTTCCTTAACTTGTGTCTCTTTGGACCTCATAGTAAGAGTTTCGATGAACAGCTACAAGATCAACATTTGGAATCAAATCCAGATCTTTATTTTTATTTTTTCTATCTGTCATGGAAACATTAGGGGATAAGCCTCACCTCGCCATAAACCTCCACATCAGTTAACCAGTCAATTTTACAAAACAGTTCTTGAAACACTTTTTTAGTTTCAGCTCCCAAAAAACGCTAGAATATCAATATTCAGAATGCTCAGATACAAAATATTATAATTTCTCCTATAAGAAGTTTTTCTTTGGTTTGGCTTTTATATTTTGAGTCGATGCAACAAACAACAACAAAGCTACAAACCACAGGCATATGTAACAGATATAGTGCATTTTAACGGCCAAGTCGTCATATATTTTTAAATGTCACCTGTTCACAATGTGTTGAGCATCATCAGTGAGTCACACATACCTCTGTGACTTCCTCACAAGTATTGATCTCCTCATGACAGCTCACCTGCACCTCTAGAATTCATGAAACACAAATACCTTAAGATTGTTTTAGTTCAGCTTGAGTTATTATTATCATATTTAGTCAAGACTACTAACAGAGTCTAGCAATAATATTTATTCTACATCTTTCAGTTTAAAATTTTTCAGTTTATTAACTGAGACATCCTGAAAATAAGTTTAACAAAATAAGATGGGAGACTTTCAGTTATTGCTTTGTTTTAGACTGTTTTATGTTTACAGATTTTTACCAGTGTTCTCCAGGATTGTGTTCTCCTTTTGAGCCTCCTCCACACATTTAGGGTCTTCACTCTATGGGGTTACAACAGCTTTACTGAACATCATGACTGGAAAATGTCAAAACTTACCACAATGACAAAATGCTGACACTGACTCACCGGTTTTTGCATCATTTAGGTACTTCCCACTTTGTATGTTAGTAGTGAAGCTACTACTTCAGTGCATTGGACAATGATCTCAAGAACATACTTCATTCTAACATAAAATGAATATGTAGAGCACATTTTCGAGGAAAAAAAGCAGGAAAATTTGTAAAATCTGCTATAAAAATGACAACGAGTTATACACATCATGTTGATTTACCAGGGTTATGTAAATAAAACACATTTAGCAATGCTTTTTTGGCCATTGTAAAGACTATTGTGTCTAAAATGATAATGTGCTATTACGCAGGATAAATAATACTGTAAACAACATAAATCACTTAATGGGCTAAAAAAACCAAGTATTTGTCCACTGACCTGGGTGATGGCATCTTCTTCATCTATCTTCAAGACCCACTTTTCCTCCACCTGAATAATTAAAGAATATGCCTTATTGAGCTCTCAGAAGGGCTAATATGAAAAAGCTGCACATTTAACATAAACCTCATGAAAAAGAAAGACAAAAACCTTTATATGCATTTTAATGTCTTTTATCACTTTCTATCCCTTTATCTTACAGTTCTCTCAATTAACCTGCTCTAGCCTGTGTCTTTCTGTTGCCATGTCAAACTTTAAGGTATGGTAGGGGCTGACCACCTCCCCCATGGTCAGTTTGACAGGTTCCTGTTCAAACTCCATAGTGTCACAGTCAGCCTCCCTAAAGCCGGGTGGTTGGTATGCCTGAGGAGTAACTGGAAAATAAAAAAGCAAACACAGAGTGAAGCAACAGTGAAAGGGAAAATCAGCAGCTTTTTCAAATACGCAGACCAGCCTGTTTTGAACCAATGACCATGCCACATTCAAAGTCAGGGCAGGCAGTTCTTCCAAGTCACATTGTTATTGCCCATATGAGTGTTACAGTCTCTCTGCGAAACAATGAAGTTTCTGGATGGAGCACTCTCCAGCACCCCATCCAGTGACTCCAAGAGGGCTGGGTACTCTCAACTGCTGTCTGGCGCATGGGCTGGGTTTCTCACTATGTTATTGTGTGATTAGATACTTGCATTAGCTGAATAGATATATAATGTGTGAGTATGTGTAGAAACTTAGTGGCAGTAAAAAAAACAAAAAAGTTAATGAACTGTTGTTAATATGTTAATATTCACTTGGACACCATTTGAGGAAAATATGCAAATCGTAACAACACACTGAAAAATTTTCTGTTTTTCCTGCGTATGAATCATCTAAACCCAGACCTTCATCTCTTTTTGTCTACTTTTCAAAAAACAGAAAAGCACATCACCATTGTTGAATAACTGCCAAAAAAGATCAAAGCTGGGGCACGTATGAGACATCAAGCAGCACCACTTAAAACACTGGATTTAAGAGTCTTTATTGTGATTGGTATAATGAATTAATAAAAAAATAATAATAAAAATGTTCAAAGCCTTAAAAAAATGTGGGTTCTATATAATTAATGCTAATCATTAATTTTGATGTGAGTGTTACCATCGTCATAGTAAGCCAGCTTCATGTTGAGGTAGACATTTTCTGGCAGAGGGCCCAGGTACTGCATCACAGTGTAGAGCTTCCTCACCAGCAGGATGATGGCTTTCCTGGTGTTTCCACATGACATTGATGAGACTTTGATGTTGTTATTGCTGATCAAGAAAGTCAAGCAAGAAGAAAAATGAGCATAAAAGGGCCCGCTACTTCAGCTGCTCTGCCAGACAATCATTACACTGGCAGGTAAAGGGTATATAGTTTCTTGGGGTGGTCTAACATAAGCCAGTCACTCTGAAGTCACATTTCAAAGATGATGCAGTTGGAGAGATGTTAAGAGCTCCACCCTTTAATTCAGTTGTAGCCCAGTGCTGATACAATGATATAGTAATCATTCTTTCAAGGCTTCGATTTATTGACACAATAACAGACATATCACCTTGGGTTTAAGTTTTACTCATACATAAAACTCTTTAAGCTCCTCACTTCTTTTCTCCAACTTTCAAGCAACTTCTGGCCCGAAGAAAGACAGGCAAATTCAAAGATTGACTAGGTAACAATTAAAACAGAAACTCAAGTTAATTTCTCATACGTGAGTGTAATCTGTAAGCATAAACACACCCCACCTTTCAAAATCCATGTGTGCCCCTGCTGCAGAGTACTGGATCCTAAAGTGGTAAAACTCGGTCACTTTCTGAAAAAGACGACATGCCAGATGCTATAGGTAATCACTATGGAGACAGTAAACGGAAAATGGACCACTTCTTATATATCACTTTTCTACTCTACTCAAAGTGCCTCATTCACCCAATAATACAAGAACTTTTTTCTACAACCAGTTTCTTTCCATCTAACGGTCACACACATTCATACCCCAATGAACACATGGGACAGCAACCTTGGGTTCAGTATCTTGCCCATAGATACTTAGGCATGCAGACTGTAGACTGGAGCAGCCTTCAAATTGTTAAACAGTGAATATTGCAAAAACATAACCTGATATTTACCTGTGGGTTCTCTGGGTCGGTATAAATCTAAAAAATAAGGCCAAATGGACAAACATCAGTACCGCATAGAATATAAGACTAAATTATCTAAAACATTACAGCTCTTCCGACATTTAGTTGCTCATGTGTTAGATACACTCGCTTTTCCAGGCTGACCCTAACTGGTTTTAATACAAAGAGTCATTATTCAAGAACACTCATTCAAGTATTAGCAAAATACTCACAGATATAATGACTGTCCGAAGCTGGTGAGGAAGAAAAAACAACATTTTGACTGCATTAGTTGCTCTGATACAAAAAAAAGTGGAAATTACAATTTATTTTTTTAAATCTCCCCTAACGTATGTGTACATTACAAATCTTCTGACTGATAAAGGTCAAATGTGACTTACGTATTTCTTTTCGATGGCATCAAAACATCCTTGCATCCTGGTGGAAATTAAAAACAATTATGATCCATAGAAAAAATAATAATTAAAATTAAGCACAAAAAATGAAACAAGAACAAGGAGCCACTGAAATTATTTCTTGATGAACAAACTGGCATTAATTTAATTGTAATGTAAATTTAAAAGAAATTATAAAAAAACTAATTTCTTCAACAGCCTGTCCCTTATTTACACTGTTACACACTTGAAACTGTTGCGTGTAACATAACAATATACTTCTCATCTCATTTTCCATGACCCTAAGAGCTAGAACGTTTTATTTATGAAGCATAATTGTCTGTTGCACTAATTAGATTATATTTGTTCACTGCATGTAAATATCTTCTTGATGAAAACAGATCAAGAATATCATTTCAACTTCACCAAGTTCAATCAAGTTCAATTTTTGACCAACCACAAAAGATATGATGGTCTTATTTTTACCTTGTAGGTCTGTTTGTCTACCTATGGTAAAACATAGTTCTGGTGACACCTACTAAAACGAGAACTATCATAAAGTACCTCTGTAGGGGTTTGTCTATGAACAGATTTTGTCAAAGGGATAACACTGGAAGACAAAATCAAAACTGGTACATCACAATGGAGCAGTTGATATGACTCCACAAGATGGTGTCTATTTGGCTTTAGTGACCCTAATAAACGGCTCTTGCTAGCAAATGTCAAGCTGCTGTAATTTACCACTGAAGAATCTGAGTGGCACCAGGACAGCTGTGCTCCTCTCTGAGGATCATCACTTGCTGATCTAAAAAGAAGAAATAGAACGCGTGAATGTTCTATGGAACTTTTTCCACACTGCAATGCAGGTAAGTGAACTTGAAAGCTAATAGGATGTACAGTCAAATTAGGTTCATATGTAATCTAACCTTCCACATATTTTTTCCCATAGGCTTTCCCCGGGAAAATGCCCCTGAGGTATGTGATGCCAGATACTGCAATGGCCAGAAGCTTCTTCATAACAACCAATGACTGCTGCTCCGAGGCAATCTGATTAGGAAACAGCTGAGTGCTCTGTATGAGTGAAACAAATTAATCAGACTCAGCACTGCTTAGTCATGACAGGTAACACAATTATTAGAAATCCTGCCCTCCAACAGCTGCGTTTCAGCTATAGCACCTTATTTAATACATACACAAACAGAATTTTTCTAACCTTTGTGGACCTCAATATTAGTGCCACAATTTGTTTCTGTGTAAGTCTGTTGATATTTGGAAAAAAAAGCACTGATGTTATTTCACCCATGATGCAACTTAAATAATTACTTATGAAACATGCATGACAAACAATACTTTTATCACAAACCAAGTGACTCTACTGTTAGTATATCTCATATCTCAGCATAGTGTGCCGTGTGTTCTTACAATGAAATCTTAGAAAACTGGAAAAGTGATGGACAAAGGTGGCAAGCCTTAAAAACTATCTACAGCAGTTTTATTGGCTTTCAGTATCTGTACCATGTCCTTCAAAAGTCTTAAGTCTCATTATAAATAGTCTCACTAGAATAGTGGCTTTTAAGAAGCCATTCTTACGGACTGAAATAGCAAGAAAAGGCTGAGGTATGCCACATTACAAAAGAATTGGACTGAAGATTATTGACAACAGTTCAAATGAAATAATTAATCCAAATATGAAAATGTTGTTGCAAATCAACATTAATATGTACAGAGGTCAGGAGAGAGGTACAGCACTGAGTGTCTACAGCCATCTGTAAAACACAGTGGAGGCTCTGTTATGGATTGGGGTCAGTGATACTGGATAGCTTGTCAAAAGTGTAATTATGAATGCAAAAAAGTAACATTAGATTTGATCCACCATGCAGTAGCAGCTGGAAAGCATCTGATTGACAACAGCTTCATTTTTCTGAGAATCCTCAGAAAAATGGACCTGAAGAAGGAGCTGCTGACCGTCTTCTACCGCTGCTCCATTGAAAGTGTGCTGACATATTGCATCGTTGTATGGTTCTCCAGCTACACCACAGCACACAGACTCAAGGACAGCTTTTACAAGAGGGCAATAGCCCTAATCAATGCAAATAGCTGACCTGATTGGCTACCTCCCTGGACTTTTTTGGGGGGGAGGCAACAACGGTAAAAACAATAACAATAATAATATTTATATTTATAACAAGTTGCAATAATAACAGTGTGCAGTACACATACACTTCTTCTTCTTCTTCTTCTTCTTTTTTATTACTAAGTTAATATACTGTGTTGTGTTTCTGTTGCGTTGTGATGTGTCATATCGTGTTGTGTTGTGTTATATGTAGTGCCGACGTAGGACAGTTTTCCAATTTCATTGTACTACTGTACTATGTATGACTGTGCAATGACAATAACGAGTTATCTTATCTTATCTTTCAGGATAACAATAATCCCAAACACACTGCTACTGCAGTAAAACCATACATGAATGAATCACTTCTTGAAGGACATTCAAAGCTCTGCTTTGGATGTTGGCTTCCTTTTGTTCCATTCCCACTAAAGGTGATTCCACATTATTTCAATAATGTTGACGCCTTGGCTCTTGCACTAATAGTGATCCATTGTTAATACAAAAACTACTTTTTACAAAACTAAAAACTGCCGTTGGAAAAAAAGGAAACTGCCTGCTAGCTAAGCAACTTAGTGTTTGCAGGATTACATCACAATAAAATCATATGAGTAATGTATTTTACCTGTGATGTTCTCACTTGCTGTGCACACGCCATACCTTTGGTGAAAAATAACAACAAAATTTAAAATAAAATAAAAAGCAAAGCAAAGAGAGAAAATTTGAGGACAGATAGGAGTCTACTCAGAAAACTGTACTTACTGTAAATCGCAACTAGCTAGCTGACCTTCTAGTTTCTAGCTGATGTAGCCCTCTACTTGTCTCTAGCACACTACTTTGACCTACCGTGAAGTTATTCTATAGATTATGCTCTTGTAATTACATGGGAACAATAACCAGAAACACACGGTACAGTCGTTCTGGGGAACTAGGAAATAAAAGCTAACCTTTTGGTGTTAGCTATTATAAAGGTTCCCGCTAAATGTTTAACGGGCAGCAACCTGTAGAAATCAATGGAAGCAACAGGTTCACCACCAGGGAGCCAATCACAGAGTAGGGAGATAAAAACTAAAAACAAAGAGGGCTTCAGAGCCTTTTGTCTACCGCTTTTTGTTTTGTTTTTTTATTGTTATAATTTTGATTTGATATGTCAAACGTTAACTGAAAACTAACGTTTTACCCCAAATATGTTTTTTGTGGTGATTTGTGTTGATGCAGCGCGGCCCCCGCATCGCCTCCGTCTTCACTTTGTAATTTCATTGGCCAACCGGTTGTCAATCACAGCCGGGACACATTCAACGTAATCTTATTGGCTTCGTGTGGGATATTACTCCACTTCTATTGGTTACTGTATTTGTTAGTTACAAGGGAAACGCCGGCCCTAACGGTGATGTCATATGTCGTTACGCCATTTTTGTTGGAGAGCAGTCGTGTTCAGAAAAGCAGGATTAGATCCAGTACAGGTACAAAAAACGGTACCTTGAATAATCATCTCTTTGAGTTGGTCCAGCAACCGACGAGACACCTGCGTGTCCTCCACACTCACAAAATGTCGTCAGAAAACCTGGACTCGGATACTCAGGTGGACTACGAGGACGAAAAACAGGTGGGTTTCTGCCTGCTATCTTGATGTTGTTAGCTAACCTCAGAGCATGCTAACTAAGCAGTGGCTAGCATCAGTTAGCATAAGTGTTTGCAGTAAGCTTAGCGCTGCACCAATGCACCGGGGAAGACCTGGAAGATGCGTACAGCCGATATGAGCTGCTCTGTATAATGGAAGTGGTTTAGTTGTAGCTGCCATAGCATAGAAGCACCTTGCTTGTGTGTCACTTTGTTTTGTCCCTTGCTTGGTGTCATTGGCTGGCGAGTCCACAGCAGCTCAGGCCTCATTGGTCTGTACCCGAGGGGGGGTTTACACACTAAATGTGTGGCCTGCGGTCTCCAGATAAAGGCATGACTGGGTAATTTCACTCAGTGCACACTGAGTAAGTAAAGATAACTGCGCTAAAGTCGAATAGAAAACTGTCTTTCCTGAATGGCTAGCAGTTTCTGGATTCCTGGTGGTCTTGCACTGACTGTGACAACCAGCTGCAGTGCTTCCGCATTTCCATACTATGCCATAAGCACAGCAGCGATGCCATGTAGTCCATTATTAGGATCGAGGGTTTGCCAAACATTCTTATGTCAGTATCTGTTAGATTAGTGTTGACACTCGTTAAGTTTATTTACACTGTACCAACAGTGGGGCAGAAATAACAAGATAAACACCCGTGGTGGATGCTAACATTAATGTCAGTATCTATTATCTTTACAAGAAAGATGTTCAGTCCTAACACTATAAAGCAAAGGTTATAATGTAAAGTCTAGTTTTCTCATTTTAAGTACTTTTAACTTTGTTTTTATTATTCACATATCTAAATTGCGTTACTCAATACGAGAAAACTAATGAAAAGTGGAAACTAAACGTTGCCCAGCCTTTACAAGGTAGGAAGTTAAAAATTCAGACTTTGCTTGGCAAACTTGTTGATTTCTGTTTATAACCGTGCATTACTGTTCATGCCCTACTAATCATAAAGTTGAAGGGAATAGAAATTGTTTGTATTGCAGTGACAGATGTTGCTTTATGACTGTTGATATTGTCATAACTCAATTTGAATCATGAGTTTTTGTTACTGAGATTCTGTGTGAATTAAGCTGATGCCACAAAAGGAAATATTATTTTAATATTTCATCTCTTCGTATGGCGACACAGCCTGTGCATTTAAGCTTTTCCAGTAGTTTAAGCAAACCTTATAAACAGGACTTTTAACCCTGTCTGTTGCTTTAAGTGAACAAAAAAAGACAGTCCTTCCTGAGGGGAATATTTAGTTATGCTGTAACTAAATATTCCCCAGTTCCACTGTGTACACAAAGACTGTGTTGGAATCTGCAGTTTCCCTGCATCAAAACCAAATATAGTACCTCATAAATTTCTCTTCATGGACCCAAGTGAATCAGCACACTCTGTGCAACACCTCCTCCACCCCCACCCCCCCAAGGGAATCTGTTCATCGGCTTCTGTGTCCTGGGTCACATTTTATCCCTGCCCCAGCAAGCTTTATAGGCTGAGTGCCCTATCTTGTCTCTATAGTGGAAGTAGGTCTATGCTGTGCAGCTCACTTGAGGTGTGTTTATAAGGAATGTCTAAATGCCCTTTGGAGTTTGTCCATTATAGTCTTGCACTAGCCTGTTTTCTGAAATAGTTTTAACATGGAGTCAAGCGCTTGACTCCTGCTGTGTGCACAGGGTGGTGCCCCAGATTAGTAGCTTCAGTATCTACCTGTCGGGTACTTGAATGGCAATGTCTGACTAGTTTTACTAGTATTCGGCAGAGGCATCAGCACAAGCCCTTCCATTGTTTCAGAATTCCCACTGTAGGCTTCAGCAATCTAAGCCTAGCATTGTTTGGACAGCCCGGTCATGTTGTTATTTCTTGACCCAAATTTTCAGATTTTCTCTAAATGTATGACTACATAACATAGTAGTTACTATTACCAGAAACACAGTTGAGCACAAGATCACAATAGGATTTAGCAATTAATAGCATAGATTTTGTGTCTTGTTTAAAAAATGGAAAGTTGCAGAATTCAGTTACTATAAATAATGGACTCTGTTACAGCGTTTAGTTTTATAGTAATTTTGAGATTTCAGCTTTATACATTCTAGTTTTATTTTTAATATATGCATAAACAATATTTTGGTCACAAGATCTTTAGCAACACAACTTTCCAATAGAGCTTTAGTTGTTTGTTACTATCATAAGCTTCTAAAATCATTCAGCATTCATTCTTAAGGTCCCTGGTCATACCAAGTTTCCTCTCAGGCATTATGGTGTTATGAGAGACTGTAAGAGGAGGACAGTCATGCTGTGACTCATGCTATCATGGAGTATATGAAGTTTCCGCTAGTCACTGTCATGCTTTTGAATCCCTTTCACAGCATTACTTTTAGGTGTTTTTAATGTACTGGTCCTGTGCTCCACAGTAAACTTGTAGTCTTTGTGGAAAAAGTTGTAGAATTGCAGGGTGGCCAGAAGTGAGTGGCTATCACATGACCAGCTGTTCTAGTTGTGAACTTTTCTGAAGCTGCATCCACCGACATTTTAAAGGATCCCTGTTTTTCTGCAAAACAAGAGGGTTAAACCTTTTTTTTGTCTCTACAGGACTCTCAAGAGAAAAATGCAAACCCAGTTAAAGCAGAAGAGGCGAAGCTGAAGGCCAAATATCCTGGTCTGGGCCAGAGACCCGGTGGGTCAGACTTCCTGATGAAGAGACTACAAAAAGGAGTGAGTTACTATAGTTTGCCTATGATGCGATCAGAGACAGCAGCAGCCGCAACAGCAGTGGAAAAACAGGACTGTGCGTTAATGAGAGCTTCTCAGAAAACAAGTCATTAAACACCTGCACCCCACGTAAAATTGAAAAAGGATAGCTGTTGTTTTGGTATGGTCAAGCTGCTGTTACTATTATTGAACAACGAACAATTTGAATGTAATTGCAGTGAACATATCTTTAATTTTTAATAAAGATATCAGCGATCTAAAAACCCAACTGATAAAGTTTATGCTCACCTTAGAAACCAAAGAATCAAGGCTCTACCTAGAACCACCATTGAGTTGTTGATTCATCAGTGCTACAAGGGTAAATTAATTGAAACGAAGAGAAAAATAATTTCTCCATCCTCAATAGACTGGAATACAAAGCTGCTAGATTGATGGCACGTGCAGTACAGCTTGTGTGACAGAGTAACTTTAATTTGTATTTTGAACTGCAGAACAGAGCACCCAAAGGAAACTTTAACTCCAATCTCACTTTTCCCGGATTTAAAATTGTATGTCTCTCTCCACCTGCACATGCTCTATATGCTTCCACCTCTAGAGGTTGTTGAAAGTCATTCTGGGAAACATGGGTAGGAGTAGGAGTAGCCAAGACATTCAGAGGGAAAAGCGTTTTATCATAAGATAATAAACACTATCAGAGACTGAGGAGGTAGGTAATCTCATACTTAAATTTTTTAAATGTTGAAACATAAGCATATGATTTGATTAAAGAGAATAGCATTACCACTGTGGTATCTTCTCTGATGTGTGAGCACTATCAACATATTTGTTATTGTGCTGGTTCTAGTTCTCTTTAGCTGTTAAACTGAACACTGTTAAATTTATAGTAAGGAACAATATTAAAGAAGGAAATGCAAAGCATGCTTTATAATGATTACAGCTTATATGGTGACTGTATCCTCATTTTATAAAAGGCAATTTGGAAGGAGGTAGAAGATGATGCGGCTGGGTCTTAAAGCTACATTCAGTTAGCATTGTTTCAAATTTTATTAGGCACACACAAAACCGGTTTTTAAAGCTGTTCTGGTTTATGGGTATGATTGTGGTGTTCAGCATTAAAAAAATATGGTAGTTAAACTCAGGCTGCTAAAGATGAGTATGAATTTTCCTCCATCTGTTACACAGGAATACATTTGGAAAGTTTTCTATAGCACTAGTGCAATCAGCAATAACCCTTTGTACAAATATGTAAGCACTGTTCTCAGTATTTAGCATGTCGCTAAACTTTGTAGCACCTCTGCTCTCTCTTTTCACGCAGCAAAAGTACTTTGATTCGGGTGACTACAACATGGCCAAGGCCAAGATGAAGAACAAACAGCTTCCTGTGGCAGGGCCTGACAAGAATCTGGTAACTGGTGACCACATTCCCACGCCACAAGATCTACCCCAGAGGAAGTCCTCCTTGGTGACCAGCAAGCTAGCTGGCTAGCCTTTGTCATTCAAGAAGCACCCTCCCCCCCTTCCCCCCCGGGATTCCCAGCAAGCATCCCTCCTCCACTTCACCTGTGTCCCCAATATGTCCATCCACTCCCCTCTCTTCCTTTTACATCCCCATGCACCACTGGCTTTAACATATCGGGCAGAGTTGTATAAGTTAAAACTCCATTTGCATATATGTGGGTGGGGCGGGATGGGAGGGACGGAGGTTTAGGCGGCCCACAAGGTCACAGCCTTCTCTGCCTTCCCACAACGCACAGCTCTGCCCCCTCTGTGCACTCTGCGCTACCGCCTCCCTTATATCTTGGTTTTCAGTGTTCCAAGATGC